CCATTTTACGAAAAATTTAGGCATTCCCTACCCGTTTTTGTATCCTGATGAAGTGCTACACCAAGCATGTCCCATTCTTCTACGAGTAAGTCAAGCCCCACATATTCATATCGAATTACCAGTGCACACAGTTGAGGAAGCAGAGGCCTGTGGCAGTCCTGCAAGCTTCTCAAGGCCACACTGCCAAGAGGCACAGTGGAGGCTGCCTCTCAACCTGCCCCTTTGGGGGACTCTGATATGCCAAAATCACAGATCCTCACAAGACTGCTACTCTTGGTGTTCCCGCCTGGGCAAGGGGGAGGTTAGGAAGCACACCTTGCATCCTCAAGGAGGGAAAAGAGGTCAACAACTGTTGGGACGCTCTACTCTGTGGTGTAGCTGCCCGTGCTCCTGTAAGCAATGCACCATCCATGCTCCTATGAGTGACCTCCACTAAGTTCTTGGCTTCACCAGGCTGGACTCGGTGAAACAGTTTGCCTGGTCTGCGGCTGCCTTCTCTGTCCGGAGCGAAAGGGAATGGACTCCCAGGCGTCCAACAGTGACTCTTCCGAGCACTTTCACCAGTATAGACCTGGTGACTGGGTCAGTGGAAGAGCGCTTGCTCCTGCCCTTGGTTCAAGTTCCAGCATTCACGTGACAGCTCACACTGTTCCTTCAGTCCTAGGGGTTCTGATGCCCTCCTTTGGTTTCCATGGACACCAGACACACATGCGGTATACAAACATACATGCAAGCAAAACACTCATACTCATAAAACAAATAAGAGAGAGAGAGAAAGAGAGAACTGGACACGGTGGACCACCTAGATCAATAATAGACCCTGCGCCAAGATAAGAAAAAAGTAGATAGCAACCGATGAGTGACACCCAAGGTTAACCCCAAGAAATATGTACAATTCTTTTTTTTGTTTTGTTTTGTTTTGTTTTTTGTTTGTTTTTTTTTTTTTTTGATTTTCGAGACAGGGTTTCTCCGTAGCTTTTTGGTTCCTGTCCTGGAACTAGCTCTTGTAGACCAGGCTGGCCTCGAACGCACAGAGATCCGCCTGCCTCTGCCTCCCGAGTGCTGGGATTAAAGGCGTGCGCCACCACCGCCCGCCATGTACAAATTCTTGTGTGTGCTCACACACACATAAAGAAGTGAAAGTAGACCATCAACCTTCAACCTTCACCCTGTGCAAGCTGTCAACAAGGTCTAGAGACATTCCGGCTGTCACCTGGCAGACGTCAGCTCCAGCGCTACTCACTCACCGAGCAGCTCGGGACAGTCCTGAGCTTCTCTAAGAGCAACCTGGATCCACACCCAGAAGCAAACTGTGCTCAGGTGAAGAAGCCCTGGCGGCCTATCACCAGCAAAGACGGTGTCTTAGTTAGGGTTTCACTGCTATGATAATACACCGTGACCAAAAGGAACCAAAAGGGATAAAAGGGTTTGTTTCAGCTCACAAATGGGAGGTCAGAATCCATCACCAAAAGAAGTCAAGGCAGGAATAGAGAGCGTGGAGGAACGCTGCTTACTGGTTTGCTCACCACCACTTGTTCAGGCCTCTTTGTTTTACAACACCTGCCCAGGGATAGCACCACCCACAATAAGATGGGCCCTCCCACATCAATTATTAATCAAGAAAATAGCCTACACTACAGGCAATCTTATGGAGACACTTTCTCAATTGAAGTTCATCCTCCCAGATAATTGTAGCTTGGGTCAAGATGACAAAAACAGATCAAAGGAGAGGCCTGAGTATTGATGCTTCTCCACCCAGCACCCTCCTGTCAGGGACCTTCTTACTCTCTTCTAAGTTCTTCATGACAGGGTTTCTCTGTGCAGCCCTGGCTGTCGTGGAACTCGCTTTGTAAACCAGGCTGGACTCGAACTCACAGATATTCCCCTGCCTCTGCCTCCCAAGTGCTGGGATTAAAGGGCCTTCTTGTTCTCATCCCAGATCCAGGAGGGATGGCTCAGCAGGTCCATCAGGAATTTCAGGGGTTGGGGCTCACTAGATTGTTACCTTGAGAATTCAGCTTCACCCCACAACAACCAGGGAATCTTAGCCCAACTGACTGGTGAAGTTGAAGCAGGCAGGCAACTCCCTGGAAAAGTTTTTCTCTCCTCCAGAAAGAGCCATAGGCTGCAATTCACATGGGGATCCCTCCCTTCATCTTAGAGAAATGAAGAAGAAAAAGAAGCTAAGAGGTTTCTGACCCCACGAGGAAATCAGTAGTATTCGTCTTTCTGGAACTGGGCTGCATGGATTCTAGATTTTAATATTTATTCATGTGCATATGTGTGGAGATAGGTCATAAAACTAGAAAGTGCCCATGAGAGGAGGAGCCAGGTGATGAGGAATGGAGGGGTGGGCAAAAGAATACAAGTAACAGGAAGGCAGAAAAGACGGGGTAAACTGAGAGTGGGGTGCAAAGAAGAGGGAAGGAGAATTTAAATGTGCGCTCATGTGTTTATGTGTGTGCACGTGCTTGCGTGAATGTGCATGTGTGTGCATAAGCGTGTGTGTATATACGCGTGTGTGTGCAGGTGTGTATGTGCACGAGCATGTGTGTGTTTGAAAATGCCATAATGGAACTCAATACTTTATATGCTAACTTTAAAATAAGAATATAAGACTGTTCACAAGATGAACCAAATGTGGATAAAATAAGGAAAAGGAGAGGTTAGAAGTGAGAAGTCCTGCCGAGCGTCCCAGCAAGATGTCACACTCAGGGTGCTCTGGAGTTCTGGTGTGTCCCCTAAATGCTTCCTTTAACAACCTGCCAACCCCAAAGACAAGAGCACAACCAGGAAGCCACTCAGAGGAGCAGGAGCAGGGATGAGAAGGGACATTTTATCCTTCACATAAAAACACGTCTGGATGTACCCTGATGGCTCAGCAGCTTTGCAGAGAAGAATCCACAGTGACCTGTCGCTAAGGAACAAGAGGGTTTGTGACACCTTCAACAAAATAATGGTTACTAAGGACAAAACCCCACGGAAGGCAATGTGCTGTGTTTGGCCCATTCTCCCAGAGCCCATGGTGTAGACAGGGACTGTGCGCCCCCATCCTCTGTGCCTTCACACACACACACACACACATGTGCACACACACGCACACACACACCAGCCTGGAAACACTCCATGCATGATTAGACGATACAAACAAGGAAGAGGAATTTGACAGGGGTTACAGGGAGCCCTGGGCTCTGGGCAATCTTTAGACTGTAAAAGAGGAGTTTGAACACAGGGAACCACGGAACCCTAAAGAGGAGTGTTATGACCAGGACTGGGAGGGATCATTTCTGTCTATTTCCTGCGTATTCATTCCTTCAAAACCATGCCACGGGGGCTCCTGCACCCCCATTCTGTACTAAAGGCTCAGTGGGGTGTCTGTCCTTGTAAATTTCACCCTCATCTACAGAATTCTCTTGACCTCCAGACAGCACTCGATGGGGACACGCCCCACCAGCGCCAGTTCCTTGGGGTGAATTCTGGCACTAAAGCACATTACTGAGCACACAGACCCACACAAGGTGCATCTTTAGTCTCAGGAACAGCAATCCCATGAATCTGGGCCTACTGTTCATTTGTTTTATCAATGAAAACGACACAATCAGAGAGGTTAAGTGATTTACCCAAGGACAACCAGCTACAGTCAGGCAGAATATACACTCAGACTTGGCAACTCAGCAATGGTCAGCACTTCATTGCCCCGGGTTGCTTCCATTGATTCTGGATTCCTGAGCTTTAGCAGAGTTCCGTGCAAAGCAAGAGGTGAAGGAAGGCAGGGGTCTCTCCCAGCCACAAAAGTTTCGCGACACTACACAGTCATTGCGCTTGGGACCAGGCTTTTCCTCCCACTCCCTTCTCGGCCTTTCCACCATGTGGCCCAGAAAACCTTCCAGAAGAACTAGCTTCCACTGGGATCTCAGAGGCCGTTCGCCTGGCTCCAGTGAGCTCGCCGGCCTCTTCAGAATGCGGTAGCCCCCATGTAGAGTCGTGAGCATTGGTACAAGAGGCTTCAGAAGTTCGTAAGAGTGACCCCATACCAGAGCCACTGAGCTCCGATGTGGCCAGCTGCCACCCAAATGACTCAGGAGAAAGAGACCGCTCCCTCGAGGGGCTCATCAGCCGCTCATCAAATTGGTGAGACAAGCTTAGCCAAGCAAACATGGCGGGGAGCAAAGAGTTCAACTCCACTAACCATTAAGAAACAGTCAAGGTGGCTGCATCACCAAGGACAGCAGCCCTCGTCCGCCTCCAGATACGTCTCTCCCCAACACAGTCTGCTGGAGCCACCTGGGAGAGAATCCAGCGAGGGAAGCCAAGTGGTCTCCACCTCATTCGTGCCCCCAGAAACAGCATAACACAGAGTCGCTCTTGGCTGAGGGAAAAAGCCTGGCAGAAGTGCCAAGAGGAATCCAAGAACTTTGCTTGGCTGTCCCCTTCTGTGGGGCTAGGGAGAAGAATGTGGGGACTGGGGTGCCTCCTTTCCATACTCCCAGAAGACTTGGAAGGGAGGGGCGAGAGAGCAGAAAGATGCGGGGCTAGTGACTAGTGCACACTGACTGCAGTCTCGGGCTGAGTACCGCAGGGCTTGGTAAGCCTGGTGCTGCTTATGTCCCCACCCGGAACCCTCCCCTAAAGGACAGTTTTGCACAGACAGTGAAGTCCCAAAGAGGTACCCCGACAGCTCTGGTCAGAATGGGGGTGTCTGCTTAGAGCTACTTAAAGCAACCCCACATTCTTCTCCTTCCAGGGGGCCTCGGAGGTAAGACACAGTCTAGCTGGGGCTGCTCCCCACCAGCCACACCTCGTGGGGCTTATTAGGAAGTCAACAGTACATAAACACAGTTCTTGCCACCAAGCATCCAGATCCCCGGGCGGTCCCTCCAAGCAAACACAATGCGCCTGCAGGAGTTGTTGCCCAGTTACCAACTTCACCAGGCGATGGCCAAGCATCCCTGGACCACCACAGCCCTGACCCACGTCCCAGCTGCCCCAAGATTACTTACACCTCTGTCTTCACCACCTGTGTGGGTGGCGAGCTCGTCCCGGGCTGGAAGCGGTGCGGTGGCTCCGTCCTGGGGCTCGCTTCCCGCTCGCAGCCCCAGCCTCAACCTCTTCTGCTCCGGAGCATCGTCCTCCCTTCTCTGCCGGCCTTCCCTGCCTTCTCGCAGCTTGCCTACATCTTCAGGGCTGCTAGAGGGGCTGGCCATGGCTTCAGGTGGGGGTTTTTAGTGCCTACTCTTGGAGACTAGGAAGGAAGCAGGCGCCTCCCGCTGCAAGCGGCCTCTCGGTGGAAGCGGGGCTTCTGCGCTCGGGCTCGGGGTCCGCGCCGGGCAGCTCTGTGCAGCTCTGCTGGCTCTCCACCGCCCTCTCCTGGCCGTCACGGGCACTGCGGGTGGACCGGCCAGGATTGTGTACCTACTACAGCAGGTACACAGTGGGCGCCCATTGAGGCAAAGCCCTGTCTCCAGCCAACTCACAACCTATGCCCTAGGAAGGAAACTAAAGGAGCGACGTCCGGAGAGTTTGAGAGGATGGACAGCACAGTCACTCTGGTGGTTGGCTCTATTTGTGTTTGGAATGGTTTGGGGCCGCCTAGAAAATGGCATGGAGAACTCTGGAGAGCACGTGCTGAGAGAAGACTGGGTCTGTCAGCCCACACATGGGGCGGGGGGGGGGGGGGGGGAGCGGTAGGGGCAGGAAGTCAAACACCTACCTTCCCTTTATTGCTTTCCGTCTTTTTCTCAACTACTTATTTGTTTGTTTGTTTGTTTGTTTTTCCTGAGACAGGGACTCACTATGTAGACCAGGCTGGCCTCAGACTTACCCTAATTTGTCTTATTTACTTGTGGCAGAAGGGTCGGAAGACAACTCCTGGAAGTCAGTTCTTTCCTTCCACGGCGGGTCCTGGGATGCACTCAGCTCCTCAGGCTAGGGCAGCAAACACTGGTACCAGCAGAGCCTTCCTTTTCTGTTTGTTTTATGATCATTGGTGTTTTGCTTGCAAGTATGTCTTGTATGTCAGAAGCTGTGGGAGTGGATTTACAGACAGATGTGAGCTGCCATGTGGGTGCAGGGAATTGAACCGGGGTCCTCCAGAGCCATCTCTCCAGCCCCAAGCTGAGCCTTCTTGATGGCTCTGGTTTTGTTTGGTTGGGTTGGGTTGGATTGGGTTTGGGCTTGGGACAGGGTCTCTTCTGAAACAAAAGCTCCTGGATTCCCTAACTAGTTGGTTAGTGAACCCCCAGGACCTGGTCTATACCCCACATTACTGGGACTCCAGATGCTCACTGCCATGCTCCCTTTTATGTGGTTGCTAGGCAACGAGCTTTGGTCCTCATGCTGACGAAGCAAGCACCTTACCCACTGAGCCATCCCAAGAATGGCACGTACCAGATGCTCAGGAAAACTTACTGGGCACGCAAGTGAATCCACTCCAGGTGTCATCTCTCCCCAGCAGGGACCAGCCCGTCACCACATGAGGGCCTGAGAGTCTGTCTGTCTGTGACTGTCCGTCTTTTCTGAGGCAGCCCTATGGCGAGTAACATCAGACAGAGTGGGAGTCTGACATGCTGGGAACACTGCCGTGGCTGGAGTGTGACGGCAGCACTTAACGGCCAAAGGTGACTGCGGAGTCAAAACCAGTCAGATTCTGGGTCAGGTCTGGCTCCCTTGGGTCTGTGGTGCCCGCCATGAGTCTCCTGCGCTTAAAAATGAGGCAGATTGATAGTCTCTCTGACGTGGCCAAGAAGGGCTTTCGCTCGAACTTGAACAAGTCAGAAGTCTCGCTTGAGTCACAGAAACATGGAATTGTGTCCCCTCAGTTGCTTCCCAGAGTTGAGCCAGACTGCAGAGCAATGGCGGGGCACCAGTGGGAGACACAGCGCCATGCTGCCTCAGCGCAGCCGGAGGAGTTTCCCTCCCCCTTCACCTACCCAGGCGAAGCTGATCCTCGACTTCTCCACAGAAAAGGATTTCAGGAGCAGCCACTATGGAGCTATATATTAAGGCATCCTTGGCAGATTTAACCACAGGTGCTATAAGGCTACTTGGAGAAGCAATAAGGAGTGCCTGAGAGGTGGGCGTGGCCTTCTCAAAGGAGAGACTAAGTGTCTCCAAAGTGGCCATGCATTCTGTTTTGGTGGCTATGAAGTTTCATCTCATCTGCTGGCTGAAGAACCTTTTTGGTAAATGAGATCACCGGGTGGTTCCTGGGGTGCACTGGGTGGAGCTCCTGGGGGTACATTGGAGTTCCCGGGGTGCATTAGATGGGATTCTTGGGATGCACTGGATGGGGTTCCTGGGGTGCATTGGATGGGGTTCCTGGAGTACACCAGATGGGGCTCTTGGAGCACATTGGATGGGACCTCTGCTGATAAGGTAAGCTAAGGCCATGGGGCCTTTGGGAAAAGATAAGATGGACAAGGGTCACGGTAAACACCAGTTTAGTCTTGCTTTTGAGATTCCCAGGAAAATCTTGGGAAAGGAGAAGGCCACACTTGAAGGTCAGACAGGTACAGTTTATTGCTATTTTAACACTGCTATTGAAAATATCTTTATATACAAGGAATATCATCTCTATACATGCAACCTTTACAGCAAGGCCTAACTGTGGCAGAGTTCTTACTTTCAACTGGTGAGTGGCTTCAACAGGATGTCTTCCCTCTTCCTATGTCCCCTTAATCATCTGTCTTTCTGCCCCACCTCAGAACCCAGAGGAAGGAACTGAGGGGAAGGTCAGAAGCCTTAACTGTGTGCTTGCTCTTTCTCCAGGATGGACCCCAGCCTTCATTCAGTATAGCTACACATGGGACAGAGGAAGCCATCAAACCTTAAACGAGGTCACCAGGCTTGGTCTCTGAACTGACACTAAGCCCAGAGAGCCACCGGTCAGAACTGGACAGACTGAGGTCAGATGACCACTCAAGTCCAGCGCACATGTGTCCCTGACTTTGTTCTGTTCCTTTCCTACAGTGGCCTACAGGGATTCCAGCCCTGGTTGCCACACTAACACTGCCTATTTGCCCTGTAAATGCACTGACATCCCTAGAGAGGAAACACCCTCTAGGACATCAGTCCCCAGCTGTCCAGCCCCATCTAACGTGTCCACAGTCCCTGTTGAGCCCTCCTTTGAAGCCCCTTGAACTCAGTCACAGCACAAGGGCATGCTGGGAGATTATTCAGGGGAGAATGCACATGCAGCATTGAGGACCTGAGTGGGAGTCCCCTGAACCCACACAAAGACAGACAGTGGTATGCACTGCAGTAGAAGTCCCAACACTTCTACAGGGAGAAAGTCCTCAGAGCTCCAGCCTGACATGTGCCGTGGGGAACAAGAGGGCCTGTCTCAAACATGATGGAAGGCGGGAACTGACACCCAAGGTTGTCCTCTAATTGTCACATACATGCCATGACACCCACATGCCTGCATTCACACACACACACACACACGGCGGGGGGCAAAGACAGAAAGAGGGAGATTTATTTTATCTTGGTGTGTCGTGTGTGTGAGTGTCTGTGTGTGTGTCTGTGAGTGTGTGTGTGTGTGTGTGGTTTTTCAAGACAGGGTTTCTCTGTTTAACAGCTCTGGCTGTCCTGGAACTCGCTCTGTAGAGCAGGCTGGCCTCAAATTCAGAGATCTGCCTGCCTCTGCCTCCCAGTTCTGGGATTAAAGGTGTGCGCCACCACCACCTACCTGGTTTATTGTTGCTTCTTTATAGATTTGTTTTTTGAGACAGTATCTCCCGTGTATTCTAGAATACCCTTGACCTCACAATCCTCCTGCCTTGGCTCCTAGTGTTGGGATTACAGACGTGCACCACCATACCCCAGAAACAGACTGTGTTCAAAGTGGTTTCAAGTTTACAGGAAAGAGAGTATGTCTACACTTTGCCCACTCCTAGAGCTGCAGGCCCTTTCACGAGTCATGCACACACAGAGCCTTCTCCCAGCTAATCTGATGTCCAAGTCTGGGATAGGGAGATGACTCAGTAAGGAAAGTGCTGGCCATGTAACCTTGTGGACCTAAGTTTGATTGTCCCATTAAAAAAATTAATCTAGGTATAGTGGCGTGTGTTTTTAATCCCAGCGCTGGGAAGGGCAGACAGGCAGATTCATGGGGCTCACTGGTCAGCTAGGTTGCCTTCTGGCCTACACACACACACACACACACACACACACAAACACATGTGCATGTTCACCTACACACTTACTTGCATATACTCACAATCCCTCAATAAATAATAAATATCTAAGCCCTTCCACCAAAATGGGCACCAGCAGCCATGGAGAACTCCAGGCAGAAAAGCTAACATACATCACAATGAAGTCCTGGGACACATACACCTGCTACAAAGCACAACCCAGCTGTGGCCAAGATGGCTCCATCCAGACAATGGTCAGCAGAAGGGCATCAGTAGGTACCGGTGATAATGGGACTCTTTCTGCAGCAGGTCTCAAAGATGCTGGGTTCTCATCCTTCCACGGTGAGGCTAATATATTTGAATATATTAGGCTCCCAATTGGTAGAAGTATTTGATAAGTATCTTAGTTAGGGTTTTTATTGCTGTGAAGAGACACCATGACCATGGCAACTCTTATAAAGAAAACATTTAATTGAGATGACTCACTTATAGTTTCAGAGGTTCAGTCCATTATCATCATGGTGGGGAGCATGGCAGCATGCAGGCAGGTGTGGTGTTGGAGCTGAGAGTTCTTACATTGATATGCAACACGAAGTCAACTGACAGTCTCACTGAGGGAAGCTTGAGCAAAAGAGACCTCCAATTCTGCCTCCACAATGATACACTTCCTCCAACAAGGCCACACCTCCTAATAGTGCCACTCCCTTTGGGAGTCATTGTCTTTCAAACCACAGTAAAGTGTGACCTCATCTGAGGAGGTGTGTCACTGGGAGCGGGCTTTGAGGTGTGCTGTGGTTTGAAAGAAAATGACCTCCAAAGAGAGGGCACTGTTAGGAGGTGTGACCCTGTTGTTTTAGCGTGTCCTCATTGAAGGAAATGTGCCGCCGTTCAAGTCAGACCCACTGTCTCAATTTATTTCCTGTTGCCTGTGCAAGATGTAGGACTTCTCAGCTGCCTCTCCAGCACCACATCTGCCCGCACACAGCCATGTCCCACCACGATGATAATGGACTAAACCTCTGAACTGTGAGCCACCCCAATTAGATGTTTTCCTTTATAATAGTTGCCTTGGTCATGATGTC